TCCCAGCACACCTCCACACGTACCCAGTCTTCCATGCTTCCAAGTTGCTACCGTGTGTCACAAGTGAACAGTTCCCCTCGAGAAGATCCATGATCCCTCCGGATATGGATGGAAGATACGACATTGGCGGTATTGTAGACGAAGATGTGTTTAGAACAGGAGGTAGTGGTCGTCCCCAAAAACAGTATAAGATTCGGTTTGCCTACCAGGAGCCGGAAGACGACCGCTGGTTCACAAGAACAGAACTGTTGGAGACAGCCCCTGACATAGTGAGGGCTTACGAACGAGATAAGAAAGGTAAAGGTCCAGTCTTGGATTGAAATATTCTCGGAGGACCTCGAATTTAGGACGGTGGGTGTGAAACAGTTTTCACCTTTGGCAGTAGCCGATGCAGATCCCAGGGGTCGATCCTTTGACCTCAACTTACCTGTGTACAGTATCTGCACAGTTCCCTGGAGTTGAACCCGTGACGTGCACGATAGCCATTGGTAAGTAGGTCGCCGTAGGTTGTAGGCTGTAGGGAGATTCGAACTGTAGATCTGTAAGGTAGGAGTCCAAGTAGAGTCCAGAGGCCTAGCTTTAGTCCTTCTAGAAGGTCGGCAAGTGGTCAAGTGGTGAGTCTAAGGTAGGCCCACGTTTTCAGACGAAGACAAGTGGCAAGGTCAACAGGTAGGACCTCAGTGCAACTGCACTGAGTCAACGGTACGACCGCCTACAGTCAGGAGAAGGGTCTAGAGAGTCCCAGTCCAGTCCAGCAAGTACCACAGGGGGACTGTGAGCACCAAGGCCGATGGCAAAGGGCAGACCAACGAATTTCTGAAGTATAAATCAAGAGGCAGCGCCCAGCCATTCATTCATTCCTGCGTGAGCCATGCGGAAGCGCTGCCACAGCGACTTGTGCAAGGAGGTCTGCAGATGAGCCCGGAGGACGCAGTGGGCAAGAGAGGAGGAGTTAGCATATGTGTGCTCGAGTGTTAGAGTGACGCGTGTGGGATATGTAGGGTGATCTAGTGTATGTGAACAGTGAGATGTTTGGGCGCTGAAGTCGCCATAGTCAATTGAGAGTGAAATTCGTATCTGAAAACCATATCTCTGAGTTTTGAGTGGGCGCATGTCGCCAGTATGCTGCGTTACTGTTTACATGTGTGAAAAGTGTGTTTGAAAACGAGTCTGATTGCATGTTTGTGCCTCGGAAAGGGATAGGATAGAAATGGCGGTAGGACTAGGAACACGGCGGAAAGTTAGCCATAGCGACATACGGAGGTTAGAGGGATGGTCAGGGGCACAAGTAGAATTTGTTAGGGACCCGGCAGGGACATTCCAATAAGTCAGGTAGTCCTAGAAGGTTCCGGTAGCTGTCCAGTAGGTTATGATTGCCAGGCCCGAATGCAGGCATCTTCTAGAGGAAGTTTCGGGCACTGTAGATACTAGATAGATATAGATATCATTCCGTACATGATGTTCCCGCCCAAAGCAGGGAACACCCAGTAGGCCCGGTGGGATCCCGGTGGAGGCAGGAAGCGCCGAGGCAAGAGGTACTGGAGGCGGGGCAGCCAAGTGTAGATCACTTGGTGCAATGATTATTCTGCTCGTTCACCCGGNGGTGGAGGCAGGAAGCGCCGAGGCAAGAGGTACTGGAGGCGGGGCAGCCAAGTGTAGATCACTTGGTGCAATGATTATTCTGCTCGTTCACCCGGCAGTAGGCCCGGTGGGATCCTGGTGGAGGCAGGAAGCGCCGAGGCAAGAGGTACTGGAGGCCGGGCAGCCAAGTGTAGATCACTTGGTGCAAGGATTATTCTGCTCGTTCACCCGGCAGTCATTCAGCTGCTCCACTAAGAGGGAGAGTGAGGCGGAGCACTTTGGAGGGTGAAGGAGGAGGTGAGGGCGAGGAAGAAGACTCCATCGCTATGGAATACTACTGTAGTAGTGGGAGGTAGGACAAGCCCTAGGCTATGGAGGTTGATGGAGAAGACCTTCCAGCCGGGCTAGGGAGGTGAGTGGAGGTTGATGGAGGAGGAAGGAGAATGAACAACGAAAATAACCTTTGACTATGGTGGACCTACAGGCTACATCTTCATCTTCATGGTGGCACTGCATGAGGAAGGGCACTGCTGGAGTGCCGGTTGGACATGGACTTCATCCAGAGGGCAGCTATGGCGGTAGTAGGGAGGAGAGGCATAGTAGTAGTTGTGGTTGTCCTTTGAACATCTGTAACTGGCAGAAGATGCCTGGGAGGCGGAGCAGCAAGTATAGAAGTTTGGCAGCACCTGGATGTCAACACAACATGTTAGGCACTCAATTCAGAAGCACTGCTGCGGTCTCTTGTGCATTGGAGACATGGCTAAGTCAGTGAGAGTGAGCGTAGGGCGCCATAGCCATAGCCATAGTGTGAGAGGGAGGAAGACATTCTGAGAGCCAGTGAGGACTCTGAGGTGAGAGAGGGAGAGAGAGAGAGAGAGAGAGAGAGAGAGAGAGAGAGAGAGAGAGGCCATAGCCGCTGGTGATGAAGAAGATGATCAAGTTTGTGTTGATTTCTGTGTGTGTGTGTGTGTGTGTGTGTGTATGTGTGTGTGTGTGTGTGTGTGTGTGTGTGTGTGTGTGTGTGTG